TAGATGAGGGGAGAGCGGTGGATGTCGTCTATCTCGACTTCACCCAGGCTTTTGACACCGTCCCTCACAACATCCTCCCGGGCAAGCTCTGGAAGTGTGGGATAGATGAGTGGACAGTGAGGTGGATTAGGAACTGGCTGGATGGCAGGGCCCCGAGAGTGGTGATCAGCGGTGCAGAGTCTAGTTGGAGGCCTGTGGCTAGAGGGGGCCCCCCGGGGGCAGTCCTTGGTCCCGTCCTGTTCAATTTATTCATCAATGACCTGGATGAATGCACAGAGTGCTCCCTCAGCAAGTTTGCTGATGACACGAAACTGGGAGGAGTAGCTGATACCCCAGAGGGCTGTGCTGCCATCCAGAGGGACCTGGACCGACTGGACAACTGGGCGGTGAAAAACCTCATGCAATTCAACAAGGCCAAGTGCAGGGTTCTGCACCTGGGGAGGAATAACCCCAGACACCAGTACAGGCTGGGGACCGAGCTTGTGGAGAGCAGCTCTGCGGAGAAAGACCTGGGTGTCATGGTGGATGATAAGTTGACCATGAGGCAGCAGTGTGCCCTCGTGGCCAAGAAGGCCAATGGGATCCTGGGCTGCATTAAGAAGAGCATCTCTAGCAGGTCGAGGGAGGTGATCCTGCCCCTCTACTCAGCCCTGGTGAGGCCGCATCTGGAGTATTGTGTCCAGTTCTGGGCTCCACAGTACAAGAGGGATGTGGAGCTGCTGGAGAGAGTCCAGCGCAGGGCCACAAGGATGACCAGGGGGCTGGAACATCTGGCCTATGAGGAAAGATTGATGGAGCTGGGCCTGTTCGGCTTGAAGAAGAGAAGGCTCAGAAGGGATCTAACTGAAACATCAAAAATTCCATAGGAACTTAAGGAAAAATTTCTTAATAGTGAGGGTGACAGAGCACTGGAACAGGCTGCCCAGAGAGGTTGTAGAGTCTCCTTCTCTGGAGATCTTCAAAACCCGCTTGGATCCAGTCCTGTGCCACATGCTCTGGGTGACTCTGCATGCGCAGGAGGGTTGGGCTAGATGACCTCTAGAGGTCCTTTCCAACCTTAACGATTCTATGATTCTATGATACTCCAGTTATTTCAGGAGGGGCGTATGCAGGGGGGTTGGACTAGATGATCTCTAGAGGTCCCTTCCAACCCTAAGCATTCTATGATTCTATGATTCTATGTTACCATCCATACATTTAAGAACATAGTACGGCTATTTAGTCTTAAAGTTGTTTTTTCATGAGTTATATTAACCCCCACCCCCGCATTCCCAAAATAGGGTTGGAAAGCATTGGCCTTCAGCTTGATTTCTTAACCAGTAGTTGCTCTCCTCCTGTCATGATTGAAGTAGAAATACTTCTATAAATAAAAGCTGCTTAAAACCATAGATGTTAACACCATTTAAAGTACACAAGAGTCAGGCACTATTTTTCTTGTCACCATCTAGTAGATGAGAAAACCACCTGTGCATCCATCTGCCCATTGACAAATAAAAGTCAACGGAGAAATGGCTTGTCTGGAAAGCAAGCTATTGTCACACACTTTGTTCTTTCATAACGCAAGTAAATTCCATCTCTTACTTGGTGAGTTCTTACTCATTACTAGGAACATTCTGGACCTTGTTCATACTGCAAGCTACTCTGAAAAGGAATTACTGTCCTTACTGTAAGGGCAGCACACAGTAAGAATTACCAAGTACAGACAGAAAGTAAGCATATCCAGAACTGTCAGACAAGTCTAACCAAACATCAAGAGTCAATGGTTTTACGGGAGTTCACTAGCTAGCACCTAAAACAAAAAAACAAAAAAACAAACAAACAAAAAAACACAATATGATTCTCTACATGAAAGGAGAGGCATTTCCACAGAGGAATCAATTTTGAATATTCAAGTGCTATATTAAGTCTAAATTAGCACTTTATTATTACTTTTTTATTAGCTGTTGAGGGTACAAAAGAATTGGACAAATTAATTTTCTAACTCACCTCTACGTAATCTGCTTTCCTCCAGGCCCTTAACCAATTCATCAGTTCATCACCTTTCACATCTTTAAAAGGCTTTTTTCCTCCCCAAACCATAAGTCTGGATTAGTCTGTGAAAAATAGCTAACTACCACACAAATATATATGTCCAATACTGTTTTCTGCAGTACATAAAAACATCATAGGTGCTTCTTACTGTGGCTTGATAATGCTTGTTTCCTAAATACTCCGTTTTGTTTCTCTCAATTTCAGAGGGGAGTTGAGCTCTTCACTGAACTTTGAAAAATCAGTATCACCTCAGCTCTTACAATTCTACACATTTTATTCTCCTATAAGCTTCATTATAAGAATACCTAAAGAAATACCACACTAAACATATCAAAAGCAAAAAGCATGTGCTAAATTGAAAATTTCTGCTAGTTTGAATACTTCAGGTACAAAAATCTATCCCTGGGCAAAATCCAATTAGTTTAGAAACATTATTTAGAACCTATTACAGGTAAGCACTGATTTCTGGTTCACATACATTTTGTTCATTTTCTTCCATAGATGATCTGGTATTAAGATTTACAAGTTACGTCAGCATGTGCAAACAGCATGTATGGCATATACATTATCTAACATCAGCACTGGCATACACATCCTTTATCCAAATGTTATATATATATTTATTCTGCAAATAAGCAATATACAGCTTTTTATGAATTGCAGGATGATATAAGAGCTGTTTGGCACAGATTAATTAAAGAAAACAGTAAAGGATACACTGCAAAGGCCAAGACCAGCAGACACCACACTACGCTGATGTTCATTTCTTGTGAGGGCTTCACAATACTGTAATAGGCTTCAGTCACCACATACACAACTGTAGCTGCAACAGTGAAATCCACCAACCACTGATACTCAGGAAAATAATGCAATGCTGAAAGATATAAATTGGCAATTCTTACATGTATAATGATATCTTAAAGGAAATGATTGACATACAGAAAAGAGCGACAATTGCAAATTATTTTCAAAGCTGCTTCTTGAGGTCCAGAGCAATCAAGTTAAGAGCAACAGCAAAGAAAGCAACTTCTATTTTCCCCAGCAAGTCTATCTTTTAACCTGAACTTCACTGTTCAGCTCTTGCTTGATACTGAATTACTGTTCAACAATTACTGAGACTACAAGATGTCACTGTTTTACCATTTCAGCTTTTTTGTATCAGCCTGCTAATATTGAGAAGCACAGCTAATTTAGATTTCAACTTCGAGGTAGAAAATGATCCTCTATTTGAAACTAACTACAGTTCTTATAAAGAATTTTATTTCTGTATTTAAGATTGAAAGACCATTAACAATCATTTAATATACTATATGTAATTGTTTCCTCCTTTTCTTTAAAAAAAAAAAAAACCCAGATCTAAAACACTGATGGTTTGTTCTTCAAGATTTTGTTTATATCTCCTATCTAGCAATAAATCATTGTGTAAACTTCATCCTGAAGATTCTGGGGAACATTCTCTACTTTGTGCAGGCCAGATCATCTAAAAAGAGAGAAGTTTCCTTTCTCCCACAAATGCTAGGAATTGCAAAGACCAGTTCTTGATGATATAGTGCAAGCTAAACTTGCCAAACAGCTTCCTCTATTAATAAGGTTGAAACAAAACAAAACAAAAAACCACACACACAATACTACTGAGCATTCCTCATTTGACTGCAAGGCACCTGATGCCAAAAACAAGAAATTGGCTGAATCCAGGTATTTCAGTGAAAATCTACTATTTATTTTCAAACAACTATTTAGTTAGGTTTAATGTATGCTTGTATATATAGTTTTTAAAAGATACTTAAGCCCTACACAGTATCAGTATCTAATAGAAGATGCTTGTTTTACTCTCAGGGAGATGCTTTAATGCTATTATTTGAAGCAAATAATACTAACTTAAATTTGTGAATGCTTTGCTTATTTACATGCTAGTTTCAAAAAGCTGTGTATTTTTGTTACAGATCAAGTCTTCTCAGCACTATTTTGGAAAGTTTAAGCTGAGAGATCTCCTGCTCAGCACTATGCTTTCTTTCTATATTCATATATATAATACATGCATGTAAAAACATAGGTAGGAAGAAAATACGTATCATATATACTTACCTATCCAACCACGTATGACTTCTCTTTAACAGAAAATTGGTTATGTTTAAAGAATCAAAAATTAGCATTACAAAAAACATCTATTAACTTTCAAAGTATTTAATGCTTCTTATTTCTACAGTGTCACTTTTGTTTTCTAAATATTTTACTTCAAAGTTTCAGATGTGTGGGTGAAAGGTCTAGGTTTCAATGCTACAGTACATCTCCTATTTTAGCTGAAAATAAAGATTGTGTTTTGACATCTGCCAGTTGTCATTTTCTTGTACAAAGCTATGATCACATTTTTTATGTCTGTTTCAAATACACTGAGTGATGTGATCCTTTTGGTGTTGTCTCATATTGCTAGGGATGCCCGATACAACAATAGATGTGCTTTATGCTAGATTTCACCTACACATCCTTTTCTGTAACACTGCTATTAAGATGTCACCCATGGAACAAGAAAGGAGATTTAACCCTAATTTTTGCCTTCTCACTTTATAATCAGTTGTGTTTTTATTCTTTCATTGTCTGTCAAAAGAGATATTCCAGTGTTTATTGCAAATAAACACTTGATGGAAAACAATGTACCACAATGTCAGGATATATTTGACACAATATACTGTTGTCTGCATCCACTTATTCTTACCTAAAGTGTCCCTTTCAGTCACTGACTTTGTTTCCAGATGAAGATGAATGTCTTTTGGAATAGTTAGGGGCTTGTTTTCAATATGACCGTTATATTTTCTGTAAAAGAGTAAATGAAACACATGAATACAACCAAATCAACTTGTTAATTATATAAAGACATTTCAAATTTAAGAAGCATGCAGATCACTTTTTCCCCTTATGCAAACATGTTTATCTAGGTAAAAAAAAAAAAAAGCATTAACTCAAGTTCAAACATGCACATATCTTGAGAAACAACTGGATATGTCAGTAATTATTAGCTTTACCTTGCAAGGCTCTGAAATACTACTTTTGTTAAACATACAGGTCTAAACAGCATCTGTTTGCTGCATCCTGGGTATGTATTAGGACAGTATCACATGGGCACCCTCTACTCCGGCACTCAAGCTTCCTCTGAAAGGGAACTTCACAGTTCAGGCAGACAATAGCCTAAAGGGTGCTTCAACATGTTCACTCAACTTCGAGAGTCTGCGTGACTGCAGGTACAGTGCAGGCTATATCCACCCTGCCATACAAATATACGAGAAAAATCAAAGCTAATTTGAGACTTTGCAACTGAGGTCTAGGCCAGGACACTGAAAGGCAGCTGCATTAAAATCACCAGACTGAAAGAAGAGAGACTTGGGAGCATCCATTTATTGAACATGCTCTACAATTAACAAACTGCTCAGAAGATAACTGAGGTGGTTAGGCAAAATGTAACCAAGTTTCTGAATTTTCCAAATTCCAGCATTGCATCTTTTGGCTACAATAGACTGCTTATTAAGCCTATCACCTGGGCTGGAGAAACTTGCATCTTTCACAGATCTATCCTACCAGCTATCAAGCAAAGACAATTTCAATATAGTTTTCTAATATAAAAGAAAATGTGTAAAAATGCCATAGAATTATTTCAATTTGTTATGGCAACTAGTTAATTTTATGGAAGTGGTCTGAAAGATCACCTTTGCAAACCAGGATTAAAAAACAACTTCACTACTATATTAAAGACATCATACAACAATAAAAACATAACATTAAAGTAGACCAGAGAGTGTTTTTGCTAGGCCAAAAATAAATAAATAAGAACTTGAAACATCTAAATGCTTAGAAAACATCTATCTGCCATATTTTAGAATAGCATCCCTGAAATCGTAAGAGAAGAGTTGGATTTTCCATTGAAAGAACTGTCATCAGGACATAAGCATGAACATGACTGTAAATCTACTGTGAACTTATTAAAGAATTATGTCCTACCAGCTGTTGTGTAAGACAAGAATACAGCATGAAGCATCAATAAATATTATTTTTTCATATCATCCTAATTCTTAATATCCCTAACTGAAGCATAAAACTTTTAATGAACAAATTAAATAAAAATGAAATAAAAACCTAAAGCATTACAAAAAAAAAGTGTCCAAGTCTAAGGTAGAATTACCAAACACTGCGTAGCCATTTGCATATCTGCACACTTCTCTGTGCTTCTCTCTACCCGCCCTGTTAAATTCTTATGTTTTCCTCCTGCGTGCACCCAGGAGTACCATCATCTTGAGTGAGATGAGCATTTTGATAACTCAGTCATCTCAGCTCAACAAAATTTGGTACTCCTATACTTTAATTATCCCCAGGGATCCATAATCCAAGAGACACATGCAGAACATACCTAATATCACTGACAGCCTTTAATTCAGAGTAATTCACAGTAGTTATGGGCCTTTTCATTAGCCTAACAATTTAGTATAAAGCAAATCATTCTGAAGTAGAAAAACTATCTTATACTCATGTGCTATTATAACTTACAGCACAATGTACTGAAATGTAGTATGCATCGAATAAAATGGACTAGTTAAATACAAGTTCAAACTACAGCTGTTTCCAACCCTAATTTCCAAGCAAGTTCCCTGGATCCTCCTTTACCATTTCTCTGTTAACTCAAATTTGAAAAGTATTTAAGTAAGGAGCAGATATTGTATATTACAAGATTTTGTACTTGGAAAATAAACAAACGAACAAAAAAATCTTTATCTTGAAGACACATAGGAAAAGTCAACAGGTACATTTCCTTTGCTCAAATGAGCACTGCATTCCAACACATGCAACCTAAAAAAGTATATCCAAAGCAGGTAAATAGGAACAATTCCTACTTTAAAAATAGGCCTCTCCTCCAATAACAGCAGCTTCTTCAAAGTATAGTCATTGACTAAAAAGTCAGGTTATTACATATCCTATTGTTATAATAGGAAAACAAAGAAAGCAGCATTTAAGTCTCAGTATTACAACATCCTGGTTTCCCTGAACTCCTATGCCCATATATAAAATTTACCTTATTATAAACAACTACATATAGCTATTACAACTACATTTTTAGTTACATATTAATGTACTAAGACAATCAGACAAACCTTAAAATAATTAAATGACCCAAAAGTTGAGTGTGTAGACATGAAATTACAGCATCACATTTGGAACATTAAAATGCAGAGGTATAACTGTTAGAGAAGGACTTCAGTGAAAGTGAGAATACACATATTTTGCATGGCAGAAGGTTGTCAGTTGAAGAAAGGCACTAGCAGTAGAGGAAAGGCATTAGCAGTAGAGGAAATTATTATTTGGTAATATGATTGTGTTTTTCTGTTTAAAGCTCATATTGGTGAAATGTGTCACAGTTCCGTAACTGAAGTTGTTTTACACATGACTAAATATCACTGATTAAATTGAGAGTTATAAATTGTAATACTGTTCATATTAACTATTTTGCTTTAATTTATTACAGAACAATTGGATAAAATGAATTTCTGAATTTACAAGAATATTGCGACAAACAAATAAAATTAAAATTAATTTAATATTAAAAGAAAGACTTATTTTTTACCCCAAAGTTTGGTAAATAAGGTTGCTACCCACATAGCTTCAGAAATAAGAAATGGAAAAAAATCTGCTTTGCTTTTATGATGAGCTTGCAATATTTGCAGCCTATGGATTAACATAAAAGTTAGATATTAAGAACTGTAGGGGAGTAGTTCATACTGGAATAAAATAAAAAAGACTAGAAGAAATCTCCTGTCACACAAGAAAAAAAAAGGGGGGAGGAATATTTTTTTCCCCATAGTCAATTCAGAAATATTGCATCAACATAGTAATCTCTACCACCTCAAGATTAGCCTTGGTTCTTGCCCCAATTATTATTCTGGTAGGGCTGTTCCAGAACTTCATGCCTGATGGCCAGGAATCTGTTTCCATCTTAAGTTGACACACAGCAATCCTATCCTTTCTCAGCCTTCTTTTTCCTAGGTTAAACAAGTCAAGCTCTTACAACCTCCTCTTGTAAGATAGGCTATCCATTTCCTGGATCATTCTAACAGCCCTTCTCTTCACCTGTTTGAGTCTGAATTCATTTTTCTTGAACATGAGTGATCAGAACTGTACACAGTAATCCAGATAAAGTTCTACACCAGTGCTTTGTGCAAGAGGATTAAGATTTCCCTATCTCTTCTACTGGAAATACCTCACCTAATACATCCTAAGAGCACATTTACCGTTTTCACAGCTGTGTAAGAGTGGTGGCTCATAGTAATCCTGTGTTCAACTAATATAATCAAATCTTTCTTTTCTTTTTTTTCTTCAAGATGAAGAGCTTCAATCCTACAGAAGATTTGCTATTCTCAGTCTTCACCCAAATGAAGAGATTCATTAAAAAAATCTTGCCACCAAATTGGTGATTTTACAGATCACTTTTGTGGACTGGGAATCATAGAGTCCTGCACAATTCAGGCACATTAAGCTCTCTGTTAAACCAAAAGAGCACAGCTCAGTACAGAGCTGCGACAATCAAAGCAAGCAGGGCATGCAACAAGAGGCTCTACACTCAGAGAAATACAAAAGTTACCCAGTTAGGTTATTATCTAGATTATGCTTTAAAACAACAACCAAAAAAAACATAGACCTTAAAACAAGTATTTACCTATCTTTTTTACTTTTCCCTCTTTGTTTGCCTGCAAGTATCCATAGCTCCTCTTCAGTAGGATGTTGATACCATCGTAAACTAAAAAAAAAAACACTCAAGTAAAAGAATGCCAGTATTAGCGATTTAGATTTTTTTAATCTATATATCAACACACACATATACACTCATTAAAACACATAATTTACAGCACATGAACAAAAATACATTTTTAAGTACCGACACTACTCTGAACTGAACAATTACAGTTGAACTTCAATTCTCTTCAGTATACAAGATATTTGTAATTAGAAAGGTTTGTCACTATCAACACACCATTCAAATGAAAGGTCCTGTTTCTTAAATCTGGTAATTCAAGTTGCCATCAAATATAGCAAATAACACTATGTTAGTGAAAAAGTTCACTAAAATAACTATATTGCAACTACTCATCAGAAACTTATTCTAAAGGATTTTATTAAGGATAATTATTCTTCTCAAAAAAAAAAAAAAACCGTTCTTAAAGTGTTATTTTCCAGAATCTGGAATAGCTATGATCAAGTAGCCTTTACCTGTCTTTATCTGAGGTGATATTTACATTTCTGCCTACACAACACCTCAGTGATATTTTCAGCTCTTACTAGAAAGAGGAAGCACCAAACACAGCAGCTAACAAAAGCATAACTATTTGTAAATTAAAGGTACTTAACTGTAACCTAGAAAAAATATTTACATGTTCCATTATTGGTTTCAGGGATTTAATATTTAAGCACTATTAAGACTTCATTAATTTATATGTAGTGAGTTGTACATTTTCCCACTTTGACAAGCAAATGTTCATTTATTTGAGAGACAAGTAGTGGCAATGAAATTCTGAAGGGGGGGGAAAAAAAAGGATGGCTAAGTCTCTAGGTGGTAGATTTTACCCTACCTTCTAAGCATGACAAGAACCTTAGTAGCTGAAAGAAAGCCTTTATCAACTATGGCAAGGGGGTTTTGCCCTTCAGATGATGGACAACTGTTACACCAACTTCCCTCTGAAATATCCAAGTAAAGGGGGCAAAGTATTAATGGGAATAGCCTTGGAAAAATTATCTGCATTTACCTGGAAGTCCTTTTCTCAAATAAGAGGCTACTAGCTGCAATGCAAAGTTCAGCTTTCAGCACAAGGTAATGAGAGTGGGTAAGGAAATCCATGACTGCCAGCATTTCCCAAGTGAAGAAAATGTCATTAAGTAGGACACTTCAAACCTAGACTGGTTAATGAGGGACTTTGTTATTTCATGGCAAGGACAATATATGTGCACCTCTGTGCTACAAGAGACTCAAGATAAAGACAAGGAGGAAGAACAGGTAGAAGAGATGGAGATATCACTGGGCATATGCTTGCTTGGTAAATTTTGAACAGGAGACATAGCCTCCCTAACCTCTAACCGCATCATTGTCCCTAACACTGGATTAAACTTGGCTAATATGAAAAAAATAACACTAGTTCAAGAGAAAAAGAACAAGCTAATATACAGAAGGTTGCACAAAAAAAAAAATCCCCTAAAGATGTTTTTTTTTTCAGGGAACTAGTAAGAGTGAAAATTATTTCATTCATTCATTCTCATCTTATATGTTCCTGGATGAAGCATTTCCTGTTTGCAAAAGAACTCTAATACAAAACAAAGACACTGTGTGGGGACTGAGAGCTAGTCGGATGGCCTTCAGCTTGTCTGAGAGCTGGGATCTTCTCAAGTTACCATGTCCTTGAACAAAATTGAAAAAAAACCCGGACTGCAGGAAAGTAAACAACTTAAAGGAAGCAAAGACGTGGAAGTTGCCAACAAAGAGGAACTAAGCGGAACAGCCAATCATGAATCAACATGCAGTCATGATGAGGATGAAGGATATAAAAGGATGCGGGAGGGGGAGAGGGCGCACGCATGTGCACACACGAGTGTGGCGTCTGAAGTACTGTACCTGCTTGATCAATAAAAGCTTATGCATAGCATGCATCCCTGGCCGTCCCAACAACTGGTGACCCCGACGTGATCTTGTAAATATTGTAAATAAGGGCCGAGGGGAGATCGGCAGGGACGGAGCCTGGTAGCTGAGTGTCGGCGAGGAGAGCCGAAGGATTCCGGCGGGAAGTGCTGACGAACCCCGGGGGAGTTGCAGCTATACTGTGACTAGGTGAGCTACCAGGGACTATAAAAGATGGGAGCGAACCCATCTACAGAGGAAAAGGCTATAGTGAATATTTGGGATCGCATGCTACTGAAAAGAGGAATCAAGTATGATAAAACTGCTTTAAGAACATTATCACTGTGGTGCAAAGGGAAAGGCTTGCAAGGGGACGTGCAGGCTGCCTTGGATCCAAAAGAATGGGAGGCTGCAGGCAAAGTGCTTTTTGACTCTGCCTCTAAGGGCGATTTAATGGCCACTGGGGCGCTGACCACCTGGCGCTTGCTGGTAGACACTCTCGAACACTTTAAGGCTGTACGAGAGGCACAAGCGGCTGCGGCCGAGGCCACACCGCCTGCGCGCGGCCTGCGGCTCCACCCCCGATTGAACCCACTGCCCCCCCAGACCCTACAGAAGACCCTGGGGGAGGAACACCAGTGCCTTTACCACCATCCCCGATGTTACAGCCTGAGAAAGAGACAGGAGAGGATGTGCCCCTGCTGCCAGAAGATCCGGACTGGGACTTGCAGGGCTCATGCCCCAAAGGGAGCGAGCCACGGTCAGTGGGTGGGACAGTCACGTTCTCGCCTGCTTCAGTCACAGTTTCCGTGAGGGGAGATTGTGCAGTGGAGCAAGCTTGACAGGATGGACGGGAAAGAACGTCTTGCAGGGTAGGAGCCAGGCTGTCAAGAACTGTGAGAGGGCCCATGACCAAAGAGCATGAAAGGGCACTGCCTGTTATGCAGCATATCCTGGATAAATCCGGGAGGGGTAAGGATAACCAGCCCGGGGATTTGATCCGCCTTTTAAAGTGGAGAATTGTAATGCTTTAAGTGAGGACAGAAATTATTATTAGGGCTATTCTTTCTATTTGCTATGTTTGTCTGTATTATGTGTTGTTTCCCTTGCATAATGATGCTGACACGAGGTATGGTTGAAACTGCTATGAAAACGTTATCTGTTCAGGTCCTTCGCTACAATAGATTGACCTCTACAGATCACAGGGTGGCATGTATAGGAGGTGGAAATTTGTATGATCTGTAGAGTCATAAAACTATTGTGCGAAACAGAATCCAGATCTTGAGACAGAAGGTGTTTGCCCGCCTGGGCTGATCGATAAGGAGCACGGAGGCGGCTGCTCAGCCCGGGTTCACAGCCGACCTCCTCCCAAAGCAGTTGAAGGC